TTAACCAGCGATCGAATAAAACTTACCAGGGAATGAACGAAAATAATAACTTATATTAATTATAGATTTATTAGAATTCAAAGAGCTATTCTAATTACAGGGATTATAAGGACAAATAGACTAGACTCAAGACTGAGGACTAAACTGAAAATTGAAGACAATGTTCAGAGCAGAAAACTACAATTGCTTATATGTCTAACTACCGTTTCATTATTTTTGACACCATATTTCGATATATCGGGAGCGATCAGCTGCGTAGTAATTTGACACCAGATATGGATATATCGGGTCATCTATATCTGACACCGCAAATATTTACTGTGCCACAGATCGGAAATGTTTGTACCATTGAGCGGAAATCACTGAGGAATACGTCGCCTTTTAGACCTAGGCTTGACAGGGCCTTTACCTATTATTTCGTCCTCATCAAAAACATAATTAATTTTGTTCGCGTACTGCTTCATTTTGAATACCAAATAAATGCACTTTACGTGGACTGAGATAATAAATCTTACCCTTTCTAACAGTCTTCCATCGCAGCCAATGCTTAGTGGCATATGGATGTCTCTGGTCTCATTGATTCTGTAAAATCTTGAAATGACTTTGGTGGTATATGTGGGCACTGCGTAATAAACGATCTTGAAGATAAAAGCCTCGTAACAACGGCGCCGAAAAATCAGAAATATTGTCTTGCATGTCACGGCTCTGAGATGGAGTAAGAATACTTGTCTTGATAAGGCGGCCATTGTTGGAACGTCTTCTGGACGTACGATGATGCCTCCGGTCTGAAGAGAACGGTATCTACAAGATGGATTTTATTTGAAGTCATATAACTGAGTCGTGGAGCTGCCGAATTTGCGATTGCATTGCAACGTCCAAGAAAGAAAATCCCTTGACATTCTAGATATTAAATGCTGATAGCTATTAATTAATAACTTATAGTTAATAGCTACACACAAAGTACGCGTACATTCAGAGATACAAAGTATCAAAAACAGTATTTGCTGAAAATTGATATGGGTAGTATTAGTATTAGTAAATATAAAAATTCTTTTAAAAGCTTTTCTTTCATAGTAATAGCTTTGCTAGCTTCGCCAAAACTATGTGTCTGTAACTGTGTAGATTGCTGTCTCATTATATTTTAACCACCTCCCGACTATTCATCCATGATTTTGCCGTCCAACAATTACACATATTCAATAAATGCTAACGAAAGTTTGTTTGTATGGAATGGTAGGAACGCCAGAGCGGGGTTTCATAATCTCGTTTGAATTTTATAGAAATCCACTTTATTCGTTTCTTTTGCCAGCAGCTAACATTATCCCGAAATCCTTGGCCCTCCATTGTTCCAAGTTCTAACTCGTCACAGGTTGTAATCACATGATATTAATCTCTGTACGCTCAAAAAAGTCGCGACAGTATATCGATGTATGTCTGCACTTAGTTTTCGCGCAACTAAACGGTGGGTTGAATGATCATTTCTTCTTATCCATAAGTAGTTTTTGTTAAGCAAGAAGGATGCGTCTGCGACAGAGAGAGACTGTCGGAAGCCAGTTATGGCAAGTCACCATCTAGTGGGTGGCCGGCTGAGTTTCATTGCCCAGAAACTATTGGGTTGTTAAGCAATGTAAGGCGTCTGCGACAGAGAGAGACTGTCGGAAGCCAGTTATGGCAAGTCACCATCTAGTGGGTGGCCGGCCTTATTTTGCGAAACAGCTTATTTTAATGTTTACAAATTTTGCTTTATTTGACAAGATACTTATCCTTGTTTCTATTTTCCAAGCTGACAATGCCAAAAAGGAAATCCCCGCTTTCTTTTTAAAACTCAGCAAGAGCGTCACGTTTGCTGGATGCTAGCTTGTTCCCATCCAACTCCACTTGCGTTTTTTCAATACATATGCCCATCACATTGTGTTCGAGCAATTGATAAGTATCATAGAACACTCGATCTAGCTTTGGATTATACTGATGACCAGAAAGTGCTTCGTAGACTCAGAGGAATGAAAAACGCAATGAATGTATGTAATTGAATAGGATTATTACGTTCTATTGTAAAATTTCTAACTTTGCGCTTCCTTTGATAGGAACCAAGGATTTTGTCTGATTGGGAAACTTGGATGCAACAAAAAACGGCGGTATGTCAAATGTTGACTTTTAGACAATTCGATTTATTACTGACAAAAACTCGTACACAGATTTTAGTTCGTCGTTCTGTGCGTAATACGCATTTTAATCTTCACAAGGAAATAAACGCTTTTGCGCAAACCGAGGAAAAGCAACAAAAGACTGGGTAATAATTATGCTTAAAATGGTTGGGAACGTCTGAATACAGGATACATCAGCAGGACTTGCTAGAATCGAAAGGTGAAGGTTTTTATTGGTATATTGTTGTTAGAATTTCAAACTCTGGCACCAAAAAAAATCCTAACGGATTGCATATGCATAGGATAGGAAGAAATGAAAATACTTCTGGTAGTGAGACCGAGGAAGAGAGCCATCTATATGATGATGATTACCAAGAAGATGATAATAACCAAGAAGGTGATGATGGTGAACGTTATTTTTTGTTTTTGTTGTTCTTTCCACTCTATTTTATCGATATATATTCTAGTTTCTTGGTAAGGGCGAATTATTTTTTTAACCACTGCTTCCTGACGGTCTTTTCAGATTTCCAAGTCGTAAATCTGTTGTAAGTTTAAAAAACCTTCGGCTCCTACTTTAAAATATAAGCCTAGGCGGTCGAGCCAACAAACTATCCTTGGTAATGTAAAAAACTTTAAGAGAAGTTGGCAACTCGCCATTTTCATCGACAAATCAATTGTTAAAAAGCAATATTTTGGGGCCAAAAGGCAGGTTTTACTGAATTAAATTGGCTTTCTTTAAGAGGGCTGAAAAGTGCTTTTGCTAAAGGCAAAAAGTTTATTGACTATTTCTTTCAACATTTAATCACTAAAATTAAGAATTGTGAAGTAAGGAAATAATAAAAGAAAAAAAATGAGCAGAATGAACAGAAAATTTTGCTAAAAAAATTCATGTTTTTTTTTTTTTTGGAAATATTTTTATCCCTTTCACCACGCCCTTTATAATTGCTGATGGTGATGAAAGTGGGGAAGATGGAGACAGGTACTGCTTACATTGGCTACATTGGCAACTGAGGACAATTCTTACTGTTGTTAAAATAGGATGGTTGATGAGGATGATGAATTGGAGGTATATGCTGAAGAAACCGTTAAAGACGATGGAACAAAATGGATTGTATGTGGAATAGATGTACGTGATGCATTAACAAAATAGAAGCAAGCGAAAGTGCGACCACGCACTGAGTAAGTATTTTCGTAAATAAGTTACTTTATATATGATAAGTTTGAACATATCTAGCATACTGATTCTGAAATTTTAGTCTAGCTTTCTATGATATTGTAGACATGACACCAGGTTCGAATAGTAACTTTGTACGGTCATTGGATAGTAAGGTAGTGCGTGAAATAAGCAAGTCAAAGTTATTGCTGACACCTGTCATAGACAATGAAAATGGCGAAAAAAGACGCTATGGCGAGTGAGGAGAGTCTAAAGAAAAGGATCACCAGAACTAGAAAGAGACAAAATGGATGGAGCAAAAGAATATATTATCAATTTTGTTAAAGTATCATCAATGCCACTGAACGTATAATAGATTATATTGACATGATCTAAAATTTAATTCTCGCTTTGTGCTGAAACGTTACAATTTAGGCGAGAGAATTTCGTGAGTTTGTGGATAAAAGCTATATGAAAACGAGAACGGACAATACTATGAAATTTATTTGGAATTATATGAATCTTTTGTAAGAATATCTTTGGTAAATATGTCTCTGAATTCTTATGTCTTACATCGAGTCCTCTTTTTTTTAGGGTGGAATCTTTCGAAAGAGACAATGATCTCGCAGATTATAATTTATCCGAGTTAGGTTATCGAGAGACATTCCTTACACCACTTATACGTAGTCTATTCCGGGGTATGCATCGAGAAATGAATATATTTTTGTAAGTATAGGAATACCGTATTAGTATGTCACTATGTTTGTCACGTTTTTAGTAAAGTTTTCCCTTTTTGAGTGGTGAAAAATGTTTGTTCGCCTCTTCAGAAGACCGAAATACGGCGAAAGATGATGAAGAAAATAGAAATTCTGGACGAAAAATAGACATTATCTGGTGTATGAAACCGACAGATCTTGAATTTTCTATCTGTGAAGTAAGCGGACCACCAAATAAACGAGATCATAGGCACTTTTTCACAGACAAGATAAAGATTGCGAAGATGTTAAAAGTAATTATAAATCGAATCGTGAGATTAAAATTGCTGCCATCGCGAATTATTTCTCTGTTAGCGCTACTCAAAAAATAGATTTATGCTATTCCCTCTCTGATTGGTGGCCGCAAAATCATGTGATGGGAACAAATGCCAAAACTCACGCGTTGTACCACGATGTGTCAAGTAAGAGAAAAAGGATGATAACTCAAATTTGTCCTCAATTTGCGCATTCTCTGATTGGCTGTTTCAAATCAGAACGGATCAGAATTGAACAGGCTGCTGTTACTAGAATTGTCCTTTTTTCGATTTTCTTTCGCCTCGATTTTGTCTAATAATGTTCTCTGCGGCCATTTTTGATGCCGATAGAAACTTGCAAGCGTTGTTGGACTGAGACCTATTTCTCCGGACAAGACATTGTACATTTGTGCAGGAGAACGTTTCTCTTTTTTCAAGGCAGTAAATTCGGAGATCCGTAAATGCTTGCCCTACTTACTATAAATAGAATTGTGAGACATTCTCGATAATAATATTATGACCTATCAAAACCGGGACACATGATCTAAGAATATTAATATTAAGACACATTTTTACCGGAAATCTCTTTCCGAATATCCACTGACAAAATGAGTAATTTGAGGGCCACAGTGACGAGTAAATCGTCATCTTCGAACATCATACTCAACAATGAAGACAAGTATAACGAAGAAGAATATAATGAACTCGAAGAAACATGTGAAGTGGCAGAGGACATGGACGTTGCGGTGAGTTTCATTACCATCGAAAAAAAAATCGGTTTAGCAGATCGTAATCATGAAATACATGTTTTTCGACAGGAAGATGCTGATGATGTCTGGGATGACAGTGCTTTAATAAATGCTTGGGATAAAGCGATGTTAGAATATCAAGTAAGCAATGATTTTCTGTCTTCATGACTATGCTTTCTCCTACCGTAATATATCCTTCACGTGATCATATGTTTCATCAAATCAGACCCACCACAGTCTCAAAGCAAAGGCTAAACAGGAAGAAGTTAATGGATCATCTGCCGCATCCGCACGTTCAAAACAAAAGTAAATCGATAGCATTCATATTTAAATCTCGTGAAACTACGATGTCACTAAGTAAAGATTATCATCTAACAGGACATCAACAAAAGAGAAGGCAAAGCAAGTGTATAAGTCATCTACTTCTGCAACAAAAAGGCCACAACAATTTGACAATGCGACAACCAGGGCAACTAAACAAAAATTGGTCGGTAGCAAACCCGGTAGAGATTTTGTTATTTGTTAGACTGGGGTGATCTGAGATGACACTAATTAGATAATGTCATTTCAGGACAATGGTAAAGATAACAAAAATACGAAAGAATCATCACAGCAGAAGACATTCTATCCATATTATCCTTATCCACCTTATTACGGAGAACCATTGGGAAATAATCCTTCTCCATCAACGCAATTTTATCAGCCTCCTCCGCCTATGGTATGTATGCAGAGTTGTATTCTCGGGCCTTTTTCAACTAATGTTGGAGCTGATAAAGAATTATTCTGCTGAATAGGTTTCTATGTACTGTTATCGAATTTCTTATAGTACTAATATTCACTTTTCTTAATGAAGGAGTCTCAATACTCGCATTATGCATGGCACTCGAGGCCAATAGTAAGTGTCCCCTAAGTATCACGGTCGGCTGATATATCTCAATTTATATTTTAATTTTATTTTTCTTTTATTCAAAGCCACCACCTCCACAAATGCCACCAATATCTGGATCTGGTAACAGTAGGGCCCACTCTTTCATTGCACAAACATCGACGAACGGCTTATCAAATTATTCATATTTTGTAGACGACGAAGCATTATCGAATCTGTTAATGGCGTGGTATTTCTCTGGATATTACACTGGATTGTATCAGGTTAAGTTGTTTTCTTACTTGCTGTCCTAACGGTTGTCCACTTGCTTGCTGATTGAATTTCTTAAAATGATAGGGAAGAAGGCGTCACAGCTAAGTATATCAAGATCGATAGAAGTAATGATGAAGTGAATTTAACACCGTTACTAGAAAAGATCATTTTGACCTAGTGAGTGGTACTCACATGATTTCTCTCTACTAGATGTAATTCTATAGGTAAAAAAAAGGAAGCGCATTTAAATTTATGGCTGCTCGGCGTTATCCGAATTGTCAAAAACACTATTTAGAAAAGAATGCGGACATCATAGTATGGAAATTCGCGTTGCCAAATAAAAGATATCTAATTTGACAGTCTGGTGAAAAGAAATGCTAAACCCTTTGCATGACAGGCAACTTCTTGAAGCGGATTCCAAACTGATCATAGAAAACCTTCACTACTATTGTAACATGAAACATTTGCTATGCTCTACGCATGTCGTAATGCGTGTCAACTATTCTCCCTCCGTTTCTCGTCTATTTAATACATAATGTTCGAGTTCATCCTTGAAAGGGTTTACACATAACTTAGCTCTGCTATGATTCAGCTCTGCCACTAATAACACCCAATCGCCTCTCTTACAATAGCATTGATAACGTTCTAACTATCCTCCCAATAAACGTATATCGATTGCTTACGTGTGTGATTGTTATAACGGCACTATATTAGTACGATCAGTTATGCAGACATCAAGATAAATATATTAATATAGCGTAATCAAATCCCAAAACAATACAAGGCAAACTCGATAAGACGAAAGTCGGGGCTTATCGAGATTTTCGTTTTACTAAATTTCGCACTAAGCCGAATTTAGCGCAAATTTTCGACTTACAATTCAACAGTATAAACTTATTCATTAATGGTAAAACGAAAGAATACTTGTTTGCTGTAACGTATTCTGATGTTTAGTCTCAACTATTCTCTTTAACTTTCTTAAGTTAGATAAGAAAGAATATCAACGTCGAGTTCGTTGTCACATAGTTAGTTCTACGGCGCTTAGAATTAGCAAGCGGTGAATTTTTATCTAGACTAACCAAATTTCTTTTTCTAAGAATATCATAAACTGTGTTGGGTTTTATTCCAAACTCGATTGCAAAGAGCTTTTTTTTCGAGGCCAGTCAGCGTCTTACGTTTTATTTTTTTCTCTGGTGCTTTACTTTTTGAATTGCTTACAATATTTGAAGAACCACTCGTTGAACTTTCTCCATGATCATTCATTCTGAAGGATTAAAGTTATTTGTAACAAGCACTTACGTATACCTGACGCGCTAATACGTAATGGCCGAAAATTCTGTAACTGAAAAAGGCAAAATCGGTAAACAAAACTGCCTGATTATTAGATTGTTTGCGACAATTCAAGAAACCGAATCAATACACATTCACGTGACAACTTCAGTATATCGAGATAAAATTATTATTGTCAAATTATTAATACATAATAAAGTTCGGCTTACGCTATAATAAAAGTTTGGAAAACTTCGGCTTAATGCAATTTCGGCTTAATATTAACGTGTTAACGAGTTTGACTTGGGACTAGCGCGATCAATACAAGGCAAACTCGATAAGCCGGACTCGTCGGGGCGGACTCCATGACTTAACGACCGACTTAACGAGATATCCGACTTTATCATAATAATAAATAATAAACGTACTTTTTATTTGCACGTTATTATTATGAGCTAAATATAATAGATAATTCAATTTTTATAAAAAGTTTCTAAGGTAGGCTGTTTTAGAGAAGCGATTCGCTTTCTTTGAATTTGACACTGGGAATGCGTTTTTGAAAGCAATTGACTATGTCAACCGATTAAGACAATCGTATCAATGTATTACAAATGATATATTACGATAAATAAATGATGACATAAGATACAAAATATTGTTTAGATGCCGCAATTATTGGGTAATTATTTGTTATGTTATTAAAATAGTAAATATTATCCGTAAAAAAATCAGTGGTCCGACTTATCGAGAGTCATTTGTTATAATCTGGTCGACAGGATTGTCCCGAGTTACGACTTATCAAAATTTTTTAACTATTCAAAAAGGTGCCGAAAATTTTGTCCGAGTAAAGCCAAATATCCGACTTATCGACAATCTACTATTTGCAATAAAAATTCACGTTGCTACTATTTACCCCATTAATGCCTTATTTGGCAATAACTAATGAGCACTATCCCAATTTCCAAATCTGTTAGGGGCGATAAGCTAGTGAGCTCCTTGTCATATTCGCATCCGCTTCAGAAAAGCCAATCATTCACTCCCTCCAATATCAACTCAACTAACGAAACCCCTGTTAATCAAACAAACCCTTCTACGCAAAAGACAATCACGTTCATCTAACAAAATATCTAAGCTTGCAATCCGCAAAATTAAATCTCTCCAGTTTAAATAATAGATCTTCACTATCGCCATATAAAAAGCACGAAGGGGCGCAGCCCCAAAAAATGCTAATTCTAGTTGTTGCTATAAAAGAGTCGGTTTGTGTGTGTACAACCACTATCACCGTGAATCATGCCTGAGGATTTAGACAAGAAATCATTAGAAGGGTTAGAGTTAAAAACTAGCTCAGTCTTTTTCTTCTGTTTCATCGCATAATCCTTTTCAAGGATTGGTCAAATTAAAAGAAACTTGATATACATATACTTGACTAGGGAAAACACTCGAGTGATCTTTGTTAAGCGACCGGATAATGGGCCTATCAACCCTAGCGAAATATTTAAAATCGTCAAAACGTCCATCCCTACGGAAGAAGATATTCCGCATGACCACGTTCTGGTCAAAGTGCTTTATTTATCATTGGATCCTGGTAACGATTTAATGCAAACACTCGCCCAAAATATGAACGATATTGACAGAATTCTTTAATCCTCGAAGCAATGCGTGGTTGGATGAACGACAGAAGAAGGTATTGACAGATCCAAAATATATATAGTTGGAATTTGCGCCAAATGTTCTCAATTTAACTGTCAATTCGTATTCAGTTATATAAAGCCAGTAGGTACCGTATCGCCATTTGTATTTGACGTTAGCATTTGACTGCATCGTTAAATTTCTTCTGATTATGCCGGACGTTATTAATAGGCTTAAATGAAGTTATGCGTGGGGTCACTGTTGGTGGTGAGATTTGCTTGTTGAATTCTAGTCTTCTATTTACAGTTTATACGAAAATGTAACCTTCATAACATATCGTCAACAGAAGTCATCATCTCCAAGAATCCAAACTTTCAACCAGGAGATAAAGTGCAGGGGAGTCAAGGTAATGAAAATAACAACGATAATTGATACTTTTGCAATAGCATGTCTTTTTTAAAATGTCTCTCGGTATTATTAGGATGGCAGACTTATGCTGTTGCAAATGGGAAAGATATTATTAAACTAAAGTAAGCGCCGGTTACTTGCGGCGATTGTCTGAACTGTTCATGCTGCTAAAATGTATCTTCGTATAAAAGTCCGCCTCCCGGAGCATCTCTTAGTGACTACATTGGCCTCTTTGGTATAACGGGGTTGACTGCATACTTTGGATTATTGGATATTGGTGAGTGAGCGCGTTGGAATTTATGGAAGAAACACTGACGAAATATTGAATAATTTTATTGAAAGGTAAACCTGTTGCCGGTGAAACTGTTGTCATATCTGGGGTAAGCCATAAACAACGTATAAGAGGGGTCCAATGAAAGTTACATGATTCATTGCCCAATCCTAACAAAAGCATCTATTCCCTCTTAATAGGCTGCGGGGGCAACAGGCAGTGTAGCAGGTAATTGCTATGCAGTTTGAAAGCTACAATACAAGTTACTTGAGCTCATCTATTATATATAAACAGGTCAAATAGCAAAAATCAAGGGATGTCGTGTAATAGGGACAGCCGGTACACGAGAAAAGTGTGAATTTCTTGAAAAAGAGTTGGGCTTTGACGTAGCGTTAAATTATCGTGATCCCGACTTTGCTGAAAAACTGAAAGCGGCCACTCCGAACTACATAAACGTCTTTTTTGACAATGTCGGAGGCGATATTCTGGACCTCTGTCTAGCCCGTATAGCCACTAAGGCACGCATTGTATTGTGTGGTGCCATCAGCCAGTATAACGAAAAGAAACCAAAAGGACCGGCGTTTTACACTGCATTGATTATTCAGCGGGCCAGGATGGAAGGTTTTATCGTGTAAGTATGAAGTGGTTACTTATAACAGTTACTTGAATACGACAACATAACGAATAGGATCAATATTACTTTGAAATAGAATGGACTATCAAGATAGATGGCCCGAAGCACGTCGTGATCTGGTTGAATGGTTTAAAGAAGGAAAGCTCAAACGACGGGAACACGTGATTATGGGTTTGGAGAATGCGCCGGACGGACTGTTGCAGCTGTTCGCTGGTAAAAATACTGGAAAGATGGTTGTCAAAGTTGCTGAGCCAAGTACAATGAGCAAAATGTGATGTTATCCACAGAAAGTTAAGTGTTGGTATATTGAGACCTTGTATATGTTCCGTTATGGGTTCGGGGTTTGTTTTCCAATAAATGCCAAGAATAATGCTTATTGGGCCAACGCTTTACGCATAGCTTCTGTCAACCATACACTCTCGTATCGCTCTTTACCCTCGGTCTCGTACACAATATCAAGCAGCCCTTCCACGAATTCATTGAATTTTTCGTATCTTTCCCGTGCTGCATCCAATAGCTCTTCTGCCTGATTAAAACGATTGTGTGGGTTCTGTTCCATTGCTACGGCATTTATGGCCCCAATATAGTCTCGCAGCTTGTCATCTTTGAGAAATCTTTTTATTTTCTCAGATTGTCCTATCAATATGCAGTTAATAAATAAATGACGGAAATCAGATACGCATTGAAATAAAGAAAAATGCCTACCAATTTTCTCCAGCTGCTCTGGCTTTAACGTATTCGGATCATCTATATCGAAAGTAGTATCGACTGAACGTACTCTGTCGATAATATCCTTGTTAAGTTTTATACCTGCTAATATTGTCAAGTCCTCCCCCTCAAATAGATTATCTAGATCATCGTCATTGCGATTGTTATTATCCTGCAAAAACGGGTTTCTCTCGTTATTTGAGGTGAAGCTTGCATCCTTTTTCCGGCCAAACAGATCAACTGCTAGAAAATGACAAGATCATGTTAGTTATTATTTGTAACCGCTTGAAAGATTGTTCATAATAACTAGTTGGCAAACCTGGTGGAGGCACTGGTGGAGGTGCGGTACATGGGATCTCTGATAATAAATTTTAATGTCAATATGGGGTCCCGATCTAATCAAGTACGCGATATCAACCTATACCTTACCTTTATGTTTTTTCGAACATTCCACGGAACAGCTACAGAGCATATGCAAATTTATGAATTAAATACATGAATCACGTCAATTCGATCCAGAACAGCTCTAAACTTACAAGAGTATTCTACATGTCGGACATTTATATTTATGAGGCATCTTGTTACATACTTCACAATATCGTGTCGATCCGGGTTTTGATATAAACTGCCGAGTTGGTCGAAACGTTCTTTGTTCGTAAGTGTTTCCCCTCCTTACGATTTGATTATGTCTTTGATGTTTTGAATTCACCCAAGAATTTGTTGGGTTATTTGGTCTAAACGTTCCCGGCGCGTATGTTTTGCCTCTCCTTGCGATCTGGTAATGTCTTCTGTTTTTCCAATTATTTGTTGGTTTAGTAGGAGGCTCTGCCAAATCAACACTTTTCTCTTCCCGGTTACTCATTACTGCTCTGGGAGAATAAGAATCTTGGTGAACAGAATACTCGCTAGGTGCGCTGTCTGAATCGCTGTTGGCCATTATTATTACTATTATCAGCACAAACTGTTTCTTATAAATTAAGATTAAGATGATCAGCAATGTAATAGTAATAGTCTATTGGTTATTTTATCCATAACCAATTTAAGTGTTATGATAATGGAAATAATAATATTTAATGACTTCCCGTTGGTACTCACAGGACTGGAAAAAAATTAATGACGGGTCAGCAAAACCAAAACCATTCCTGTAGAAAATGGTCGAATTTCGTTTTTTTTAAACTGCTTGAAAGCATTCGTTATCTTTAAAAAAGTAATGCGTCATATTGATTTATATTTCAATGCTGGTTAGAATAAAATTTATTTTCGTGAGTGAATAAGTTATAACTTGATGTAAAACAGTAAGCTACAATGTGTGACAAAGTTTTTAGCTCAAAACTACTGCATAAAACTTAATGTTAAAAAAAATTAAAATAAAGCCCATAATCTAAAGTTTTTATTGATAATTTATTCTTTCACCATCATTGACCTGATGCAGTTAATTAGAACATTATTCCCACTCTTTTGCCATATACATAACCAATTATGGTACCTTCCTGCACTGGGGGAAGTAAATAAATTACCTCATTACCTCCCTTCTACTTCCCCTACAGTAACTGCCTATTTTAGCAGCATCGATTGAATAAAACTCGTATAACTGTACCCGTTGAATTACAAGTTTATTCAAAAAAGAGTTTGAGTATCTAAATTATAAGAAATGCACGGTGTTAATATTGCAAATTGACTTTATTTGTACCAATATGTAACCATACCTGCAGCTGAATCCATATCGTAGCTATTTCTTGGTTTAGGTAGATCTCCCGTAGGTAAGAGTGTACTAGAATATTTACTCTCCTTCTCGAGGC